ACGGCTTCAGCACCCGCCTTCATTGATGCACCGACTGGTACGACCATCACACGTGCTCAGTTGAAGCAGCTCGCGCTCTCGTTAGGCTATGGACTTCAGAATCATCCTACAGCGTCTGCCAAGCGAGGGGACACAGTATTGGTTTACTCCCAGAACTCTCTGACCTGGCCAGTGGTGCTTTTTGGTGCAGGTCAGTGCTTCTGTAGATCTTGACTTCTAAGTTTTTTGATTGACTTTTTGTGCTTCTCTAGTTGCCGCCGGCGTAAGATGCACACTCGCTAACAATGCTTACAATGCCCGGGAACTTGCCTTCCAATATATGGATAGTAGAGCGAAGTTGATCTTTACGAGCGAGGACGGCATCGCTACTGTGCGCGAAACCCTCAAAGATTGCGGGTTGAGCGAGAATGAAGCCAACAAGAGAATCATCGTGATGAAAAGTGGACTTGAGTGGGCAGGGGGGCCTGCTGCTCAGAGCAAACCTGGACTCGATGGACTTGTTACTGTGACCGACCTGCTGAAGCTCGGTGTCTTAAAGCAGGAGGAGAAATTCGACGGCGAACTGGCCAATGAGACTGTGTATCTGTGCTATAGCTCAGGTATGTGACCTTCTACCTACGTACCTGTCTGAAGCGTGTTTCTTAACTGCTGATTGTCCTAGGTACGACGGGAAAACCTAAGGGCGTCGAGGTCGGCCTTCCTAGCTAGATTGTTTTTCAGTTAAGAAGCTGACATGCTCCCCTAGACTACCCACAAAAATATCACGTCGGTTCTGGAAATGGTTATGCCCGCGTTCCCAAGAATGACGGAAGGGGTTGACGCCGTCCTCGGATTCCTTCCATTCTACCACATTTATGGTCAGGACTACGTGTAAATGATGATTTTTCTTGAACTGACTTTCGAGCAGGTGCTGTCAAGCTCCTTCACTTCCCATTCAGATCTGGAGCACCTGTAGCAGTAATGCCGCGTTTTGACCCCGAGCAATTCTGCGCTAATATCGATCGATACAAAATTACAACTGCGCTTGTTGTTCCACCTGTGTTGGTTCTTCTTGCTCGTCATCCAAGCATGTTAAATTCCTCTGCATTTCTACCTATCATTGTGCCTGAACTCGCCATGAACAGTTGTAGACAAGTATGACCTGTCCTCCTTAGGGACACTCTTTTCAGGCGCAGCACCTCTTGGAGCAGCGTTGACGAAGCAGGTGATTTTTAACTCTTCCCATCGCATGTTCAATTACTCAACAACATATCAGGTGGCCAGCAGGCTCTTGATCAAACGCAAAGGAAAAGGCCCTGTCACTATCTTGCAAGGTAGGGTTTGCCGCACCCGGACTTTACACCGTTCTTGACTCTTGCTGGAAAACAGGGTACGGACTTACCGAAACCTCACCCACTACACATCTCCTCCCCCAAGCAGATGGTGTACACAAAATGGGTAGCATTGGGATATTGCTTCCAAACCTCGAAGCTCGCCTTTTGGTTGATGGCGACGGCAACGGAGATATCGAAGCAGAAGAGGGCAAGGCTGGAGAACTCTGGATTCGAGGCCCTACGATCATGAAAGTGGGTACCTACATCTCAAGTTCTCTACAGGATGCCGACCAAAATTAGGGCTACCTCAACAACCCGTCAGCGACCAAGGAATCGATAACAACTGATGGTTGGTTCAAGACGGGTGATATTGCAATCAGGGACTCTGAAGGCTACTATTACATTGTTGATCGTCGCAAAGAATTGATCAAGTATAAGGTAATTGTCAAGTTTTGGGTCACAAGTGATGCTGCCACTGACACAAATCCTGGTTGTAGGGCTTCCAAGGTGATAACTTTTACAAGGGGCAAAATAATTGAGCTAAATGCTTTTGTTACTTATTAGTGCCTCCCGCGGAACTGGAAAGTGTGCTGCTGACCCACCCGGACGTCGCAGACGCAGCCGTGATTGGTGTGGACAGTGCCAAGGAGGCAACTGAACTTCCTAGGTATAATTGAATCTGACTTGATAGATTCGAGATCAGTTGCTCAATTGTTTCTAGAGCATACGTTGTTCATGCGAAACCAGACGCAGTACGAACAGAGGCTGAAAAGGCTGCCTTTGCCAGGAGCATCAGTCAATGGATACAGCAGAAGGTTGCACGACACAAATTCCTAAGGGGTGGTGTTGTTGTCATTGATGTTGTTCCCAAGAGGTAGCAGTCCCATTTCGTAAATGTCCCGCGAAAATCCTAACGATACTGTTTAGCGCTGCTGGAAAGATTCTCAGACGAGAACTTCGGGAAAGAGCCAAGGAGGAACTTGCAGGCAGAGATCCTCACGATGATAACATCAGCGCGAAACTATGATACCTCAACTATTCATATGAACAAGTTATATTATTGCATATCATGATATTTCAATTGAGTGGCTCAAGTAGTAGATTTCAATAAAACAGGTCATAACACATTATTGAACCACATCTCAAGACTCGACACATGCTCTTCGCAACTAAGGACAAAACACTGCACCTTGAAAAGCGACCTGCTTGATATTGATAGTTAGTGATTGAATGATAAAAAGCAGGATAACAACGCCAGGAAAGGTATCAGAGGTGTCAAAATTTCTGGAGCTCGCCCCCAATGACCTTGGTCTTGGGGTATACACCATGAAGAAATTCAAAAAGATCCAACGCATCATGCATAAAGAAGAGAATACAAATAAGAAAATGACCATAAGAGATTTGCTCACCATATCAAGGATTTGCTGTAAATCAGAAGGAACGACGAAGTTCCTGAGGAGGGAAAAATAGGTGCTGCTTGAGAGTGAGCCCCATTGAGTTAACAACCCACGAAAGGTCGTCAATCGTATAACTGTGTCTATGAGCAACGAAGTGCTTATTGTCAGATGATACCAACGAGCGACGGCCATGCTCATATCTTCGCACAACCACGCCTTTGTCGAAGGACCACCGTCAAATAAGCAACAGAGTGCACGAGATGGAGCAAGGAGCCAAAGGATTGTCCAGCCCCGAGCAAATCATTCTCGCCATCCCCGACCAGTACCGTCGTGCTTAGAGCCGGCTGCTTTCCATTAAATAGTCGAGGATATGCTCTGTATCTCCGGGGACTTTCCCCACAGCTGAAGATGAAAAGCGGAGAGCTTTTCTGGGTGTGAGCTGCGATAACGATTCTTCAAACAGCACGGTAGAAGAAAAAAAGTTAAAATTCGAGAAGGTTTTAGACACGAGTTCAAGCTCCGCTCGAAATAGTTGGGCTGCTTACGTGGACAGGCGTGGAGTGGGTTGCCGGCAGGGTACCGCCATTTCCGATCGGAGGATCGTCCCCACTTAGTCTTCCTACTGTCTTCACCTCCACCCACCATGTCTTCAACAGAACAGACTCCAGCTTCTTCGGAACAGCAACAGCAACAGCAAAGAGTTCGGAAACCACCTTTCGCTGACTGGCCGACAATAAAGATCCTAACCCCGCCTCAGGGTGAGTCAAGCTTGGGTGGCTTCTGTAATCATTGACTGACGGAATATATCAAAGGTCGATTCTCACCAAAGACAGATGAATGGTGCTTCACATATTGTTCACAATCCGTAAGCGGACGTATACACAGCAAAGAACCGAATTGCCGTTCTATATGCGTTCGCAAAGTCTTCCCTCATGAAGTTCAGAACATCCTGTCTTTCAAGAGACATCAGGTGTTAGGTGCTGATGGAAAGGCGAAGTATCCTCTCCCTAAAGAGGGTCAATCCTCTAACCTTCCTCGGATACTTGGTGGAACATCCAAGAATGACTCGGAAGATCAATCGCAATCGAGAGCAACTTCGTCTGGATCAACGAAGTATTGGGACGAGGGATGCTATCTATGGACAGGGAAGAGTAGATGGGCTATGCTTCAAAAGACAGACAACATGATGCTCGACCTCCAGAAGCAACAACAAGCCGAGACTATGCGCGAACGTCGGAAAGAGGTGTGGCACGACTATCAAGAACATTTAAAGCATGGTGCCGGTGATCAGTCAAGCGAACAACCAGAGACAAACGGGAAGTGGTGGGGCCCTATCATTCCTTCAAAGCCGATACCTGACACAAGGTGCGTTCATATTTCCTTGAGTGTACAACTCGTTTTCTAAACTATCACTTCCCGCAGTTCGCTTTCGCTCTTGGTACCACTACCTCCTGACTTCCCTCCAATCTGGGAGAAAATCAACAAACTACTTGCACCATCCTATCAAGTTCTTGGTATCTTGCAAGAAAGCGTTTCTTCCGGGGAACAGAAGCAGTTTGCTCAGCGTGTTTGGGAGAAATCCAAGACGGGGGAGCCGTTCGTCCTTGCCCAACGGACATTCACCCGCGCTTATGAGCAGTGGAAGAATAGGGACGTACCAGAAGAGGACGATGGCAAAAAGGGCTCTACATAGCGACATCTCACATTCACTGCATGGATACCAATTTCCTTTGACATTAATCACACCACCTCACCAATAGTAGAAACAAGGCGAAAGCCTCGAATTTTCAAGTCGAACTCTTACTTAGACCGACTCTCATCACCTCAAGGTTATTGTACGTTTGCCCCATTTATATTGTTATTTCATGATTGTGCATATACATAGTAGCTCCAAATACATTTTGAGAAATATTCAGTAACGCCTACCACGGTTGATTGAAACATTAACATTGGTCTCATAAAAGTATTTTGCCTAATGTAAACGTTGCTGCATTGTCACCCTAAACGACCACTGGTTCCTGTAATTGACATCCGATTTGTTGGCAACTCTTTCCGAGTTGGCACTTTGACGTCTTATTGGGAGAATAACGTATTCACTGAACTCAGGATGGGGTAGGGTAGGGGTATGTATAGGTCTCTTTTGATGAAGTATACTGGATTCTGCTAGATGGGTGCGGCGCGTCGTAGACAAATAAAACTGAGAAAAGCGTTCAGAAAACTGAGATCATCCATCAGTGTGCTATTGAAGAGAAAAGCAGACAGCCTGAACAAAAGGAAAAAAAATAACAGATGACAACTGTGAGGTTCGAACTCACGCCCTTTCGGACTGGATGGGTAGAACTACCTAATTCCAGCGCCTTAGACCACTCGGCCAAGTTGCCCATGTGTCTCAATCATTGGTGGTAAATACGACGCGCTAATACTTTCCTGATCTGAACCCAACGGCGGGATTTATTTGAACGATGTCAATTGGAGTCATACTAGACGATGCCGACAGGCTCTCACACTTGCCCACTCATGCAGCCATCGCCTTGCGATCCAAAACCTCACCTCTGCTTACTGCGTACGTGAAGCAATGGGAGTCCACGGCCTAACAACTTATCTTCGCGAAAAAAAGCGCTTGCTTTCCAAGTCAATTGTACTGTCGTCGTCTTCCAACACCTCGATTCCTATTGTTGTAGACGGCTGGTCGTGAGTCAGTTTGTTCTGCAAATTGAATTTGCCCTAATATAAGTGAGAAAGCTTCATCTATGATCTACATAACACCTCAAATTTGCCTTGGGTCTACGGAGGGGAATACGCCGAATTCACGAGGCTTGTAACGACTGTCGTTCGAGCCTGGATCAAGATTGGGCTGCAAGTGTCGTTCGTGTTTGACGGTTTGTGAACGCTAAACTCACTTTGCTGGTGCTGCATCTCATCTCAATGTAGGTGCATGTCCGGACTTGAAATTCCCAACCGTTATTTCGCGCCTTGGCCAATCCCACATTCAACCTGCTCAGCTCTTCTTTCGAACATCAGCTGTCTCCCGATCTACCGGACGATTCCTCAATGAAAATAGAATTCTTCCACCCCTGGCATATTCGGCATGTCTGCATGCTCTGGAGGCACTCCGATCTGAGGTTGACGGGCTCGAGATTCACTTCGCGGACGAAGAAGGTGATCCTTACGCTGTGGAATTAGCAGGCAGGCTTGGAGGATACGTGGTTGGCAACGACTCTGACTTCGTAATCCTGAACTCGGACGGATATCTCGGGTATATACCAATGGGCGAGATGGTATGGCAGGTACCAGTGCCAGAAGAGACATCGTCAATTAATGCCGATGATGGCGATTTTCAGACTGTCAGAAAACCAAAAGCGAAGCGGAAGGATGTCAATGGGCCCAAAAAATCTCTAGCGAACTTTGTACCCCCAGAAAATTACATCGAGCTGCCTTTGTCGCTCACCACCTATAGCCCAGAGACCCTGGCAAAGCACCTCAACATCCCTGTCAGTCTCCTGCCCCTTTTAGGAGCCCTGGTTGGGAATGATTTCTCAAAAGAATCGGAATCAAATTCTCGCAAAATTCAGGCTTTATTCTTCGACAGACAACTTACTTTGATTCAACGGATTGAGCGAGTTGCAAATACTCTGCACTCTGTCATAACCCCTGGAGCTCAGCGACGCAAAGCGAAACACCAAGTCGGAAGTGTTATGGATCTCATTGACAGAACAGTCAATGCTCTCTTGGCACGGTTGGTGACCACGATGGGGTCAGGGGAAGTAGAAGACATCGTGGATAAAATTGTCAATGCGACACTACAATATGCGATACCAAAACATGGTGGTATCGCGGGGCGAGAGGGGCTCTGGGCGACAAGCGTCTGTGCATTGCACGACCCCGAAGTGTGCTCGCTCCTTCCGATTATCTCTCGCAAGGTAATGCAGCAAGCAGAGGAATCAGCCCACCCCGATCCGGCTCTCCTCGAAGCTCGAGAACAGTACCTTGATGCGTATAGAAGCGGGCTGCTTTCCCCTAAAATCATGGATATTCTTAGCACAGGATCGTCGTGGGGTCGGTTGTTCTTGGAAAACCCCGACTTAGAAACCGTCGGGCGGAGCATCGGGAGGCCGGTTAGAGAATGGATCTTTGCTATTTTGGATGATACTGTCGGTCTTCCTCCCGTCGAACTGGATGACGCCGATTCTAGTGCTGCGAGGGGTGACTCGGTTGACGAGTCGGACGATGACGAACTTATCGATGTTGCGGAGTCCGACGATGAAGGAAGCGAAGATTCTACTGATTTCCTGGCACCTTTGAAAGGGGAATTGCATCGTCTCCATTCTTCGGAAGGCGATGCGACAGAGCCGCCTACCTCGATAACCTCTCATCGACGTCGCCCGTTGGGTCTTCCGACGGTAACAGAGTACCTCCGGAGAGGGACGAGGATCGCGTCCGAAATTGTTCTGGTCAAGTCGATCACCGACCTGCTCTCTTCAATCCAACTTCCAGAATATGGGACAGACGACGCACCTCCCCTTTCTCTGAGGTCCGAGGATGATCGCTGGACTGTTTTTCTTCGAATCTTGGGATCCGACCTGCCATCCGTCCGGCAGCTGCCTTCAGAAACTGTTCTTGCGGTTCTCGCGGTTCGTTGGGTCATCAACATTCTCCATGTTCGTTGGCAAGAGACAAACAGCAAGGAGCGAGAAAAAGAACGGTGGACCAGGAATGAAGCACGCTGCTTCCTCGCCTCGTTCACATGGGGGTCCTGTGAGGAATCTGCTACTGCAAATGTCAGTTCGGATCCACCTCCCGTTCTGGACCGTAATATCCAGCTTATGGCACAAGTTTTGATGGCCCTCGACACGATCGAACAGCTTTCGCAAGTTTTACTGCTCACTCGGCGTGTTCCTTTCAATGCTCATCAGCTGTCTGGGAAGTTGTTTCATGCTCTATTGACGGCAACATCGTACAGCACGAAACCTCTCCCAAGCGGGATCTGGGACGCCACAGAAACAGGTCTGAACGATGTCTTCCAAGAAGAACGCGTGAAGAAAAGCAAGAAGCCAAAGGCAGAGAAAGCAGTGACGCCTACAAGAGGAAAGGGGCTCAAAAAGGATCTTCCGAGTAAAGGATTGTTCGATTTATTGGGTGATATGGATGATCTATAGAGTGTGTTGGACGGGGTCTGAATTGGCGATTATGAAGTACGTCTTGTTTATTGTCATTCGACTGTTTGTAACATGTTGTTCTATCGGATGGCTTTATACTATATTTACAGATTCTTGTATTACCGTCTTCAACATTTCTTTATTGTACTAATCATACAACACATATTCGAACCTGGGGACCCTTTCAGGATTTCCTCCATGCCTCACTGCATCCACCCTCTATCACGTTCAAGAGATAATCCGCAGGGGTGCCCGCAGTGAGTCATGGAAACACATTGGAGGGTCATGGATACAGATAGCTGACCAGAAGTGAACAATGAATGCACTGCTAAATATAATGGCCTTGACTCCGTTGACATATTCATCATTTATAGCATGATAAACATCAACTTAGAGAACAAGATTGGCGCCAATCATACTCACAGCAAGAAAGCCATACCCCACGTATCTGTCCAATAGCACAGCATCTCAACTAGTGCGTTGTTCAATCCCTTCTTACCTTCTGAGAACAAGATCAGCTGTCATCAGTTTAGAGATGGGCGCTGGACACCGTTCCCGTATGCCACAAAAGGCCATTATCAAGGGATCATCGTTACGGCACTCGCGCTTGCTACACAAGCACTGCCATTGTAGGGCCTGTTTGTGTCCTTGATGGGGCGTACGCTCCATGCCCTGGCCCTGGCCTTGTCCTTAGCGCCTCAATTCCCAGATGAGGCACGGCCTTCGTGATACAGTGTGGCAGGAGGCGGTGGCATGAGGCGCCCTTTTACTTAAAGAACTCAGACTTTCTTTTCCATCTGAGAAATACACAGGAACCACCCAACACAGTATCATGGCTCAAAATCGCAACCAACTGCAGCATTATGATTTATTCGTGAAGAATGCTAGTACCTACCCTCCTCAACTTGCAATGATTGGTACGGCAAACATTCTCGTCTTTCAATTTGGAGACCGCTGGGTTGCTGTGAAACCTGTAGCAAACTTTGAGGTGTGTATGAAATCGCCCGCGGCCTCCATCAGAGACTGACTGTCCACCGTGGAATAGGAAGCGATTGACATTGCTCGAAAGGAATTCCGAGAACTTGCGAACGTAGCTCGCGATCGTTTAGAGTTCAATGTTGAGGCAGCATCTTACGACCCAGCATCGCAACGTTTGGTCAGAATATCAGAGGGTGCATGGGCGGAATTTACCAGACATCTCCCCAGATATTCAATCATCAGGATCTCCGTTCACCAAGACGAAGACACTATATTGGCCCCTCCAAAATACCATGAAGTGCCAGCCTCCTCGTCAAGCAATGGTAAGAGTGGATCATCAAAAGTTCAAGGTCCGATACGCCCCCCTCGACCCAAAGCTTCATCTTCTGCTGCAAGATCCACTTCAGAATACTCGAATTGTAGTGATAAATCACAATCGAGCATTTTTTCGATATTCAGGAGTGGTAACAAATAACTTGACTCCGTTCGCCACTGTTTCCAGTATGCAACGCTGCTGTTGTGCAGTTTTTATATCATGGTTATTTCCCAATCTCATAACATACGAACCAGATAGACGGACAATTCATTTATCCCGTGTATACAATTGTATCAGAGCTTTACTTGTCCCATAATGTACGAAAGCACCCTGTGTAATACCATTTGTGCGAAGCAATATGCGATAGCGCCGCACTAACACTGCATCAGATGTATCCTAGAAGGAGGGGCTGCGTTGTTTGACCGGTTGGCTAGGAATGTCCATGGATAGGTGTGTTTTTCCTAATGCACTTCATCAGGTTCGACTGTGGCGAAGAAGCGCCTTGCTCCTAAACGTTGCGTTATACTGCAGCAAATTATTGATGTCGCGAACCCAATCGTCTTCTTTGCCAGGTCCAGCGCCTTCGCTGTGTTGCATCTCTTGAGCGTCTGACAAAGTCATGATCGAAGATCGGTTGATACAAGGTACTGGGAAAGGCGATGCTTGAACAACGACAGATTCGCCGGGGTTGAGCACGTGTGAAGTGCGCCCATCCATGGAAATCCCAGCCGGGGCACGACTGCGGTCTCCTATCTGTATATCACTGGCAAATAAGCGGCTGTTTTATGTGGAGCGCCATAGTGAGGCATACCCGCAATGTGACGATTGAAGATGATGGAAACACAAGGGGCCGAAACGAAAGACTTCTTGGGCAAATAGGTGTTAATACCAGTGCACTGAGGGATGGGTGCACAATAGGTCCTCCTGCAGA